CTATGCATGTACATAGTATATATAAGTAATACCACCAGTCAAGAATACTTTATCACCAAATTAGGAAGTAAACTCAGCATACACACACACACACACACACACACATACACAAGTGAGATTAGTGCAGAAGCTGGAGGATCAGGCGCACGTAAAAGGAAGGGCACTGCAATGGATAAGGGAATACCTGACAGGGAGGCAGCAACGAGTCATGGTACGTGAAGAGGTATCACAGTGGGCGCCTGTTACGAGCGGGGTCCCACAGGGGTCAGTTCTAGGACCAGTGCTATTTTTGATATATGTGAACGACATGATGGAAGGAATAGAAGTGTCCCTGTTCGCAGATGTGAAGTTGATGAGAAGAATTAAATCGGACGAGGATGAGGCAGGACTGCAAAGAGACCTGGACAGGTCTGGACATGTGGTCCAGTAACTGGCGTCTCGAATTCAATCCAGCCAAATGCAAAGTCATGAAGATTGGGGAGGGGCAAAGAAGACCGCAGACAGAGTATAGGCTAGGTGGACAAAGACTACAGACCTCACTCAGGGAGAAAGACCTTGGGGTGACCATAACACCGAGCACATCACCGGAGGCACGCATCAACCAAATAACTGCTGCAGCATACGGGCGCCTGGCAAACCTGAGAATAGCGTTCCGATACCTTAATAAGGAATCGTTCAAGACACTGTACACTGTGTATGTTAGGCCCATACTGGAGTATGCAGCACCAGTCTGGAACCCACACCTGGTCAAGCACGTCAAGAAGTTAGAGAAAGTATAAAGGTTTGCAACAAGGCTAGTCCCAGAGCTCAAGGGAATGTCGTACGAGGAAAGGTTAAGGGAAATCGGACTGACGACACTGGAGGACAGAAGGGTCAGTGGAGACATGATAACGACATACAAGATACTGCGGGGAATAGACAAGGTGGACAGAGATAGGATGTTCCAGAGAGGGGACACAGGGACAAGGGGTCACAACTGGAAGCTGAAGATTCAGACGAGTCACAGGGACGTTAGGAAGTATTTCTTCAGTCATAGAGTTGTCAGCAAGTGGAATAGCCTAGCAAGTGAAGTAGTGGAGGCAGGAACCATACATAGTTTTAAGAAGAGGTATGACAAAGCTCAGGAAGCAGAAAGAGAGAGGACCCAGTAGCGATCAGTGAAGAGGCGGGGCCAGGAGCTGAGTCTCGACCCCTGCAACCACAATTAGGTGAGTACAATTAGGTGAGTACACACACACACACACACCGGGGCCAGGAGCTCGGACTCGACCCCCGCAACCTCAACTAGGTGAGTACACACACAAAACACACACACACACACAACACCACACACACACACACACCACAACACACACACACACACACACAACACACCCCACACACACACACAACACACACAACACACACACACACACACACACACACACACACACACACACACACACACACACACACACACACACACACACATACACACACATACACACACACGCACACACACACTGAGAGAAATACACTTCACAGTGTGTATATCATGTGAATACAAGTGCAACAGCCTCAGCACATGAGGATAAGTGGCTCAACACCTGTGAAGGCTCAGGGACTGACTCAACACCTGTGAAGGCTCAGGGACTGACTCAACACCTGTGAAGGCTCAGGGACTGACTCAATACCTGTGAAGGCTCAGGGACTGGCTCAACACCTGTGAAGGCTCAGGGACTGACTCAACACCTGTGAAGGCTCAGGGACTGGTTCAACACTTGTGAAGGCTCAGGGACTGGCTCAACACTTGTGAAGGCCCAGGGACTGGCTCAACACCTGTGAAGGCTCAGGGACTGACTCAACACCTGTGAAGGCTCAGGGACTGACTCAATACCTGTGAAGGCTCAGGACTGGCTCAACACCTGTGAAGGCTCAGGGACTGGCTCAACACCTGTGAAGGCTCAGGGACTGACTCAACACCTGTGAAAGTTCAGGGACTGGCTCATCACCTGTGAAGGCTCGGGGACTGGCTCAACACCTGTGAAGGCTCAGGGACTGACTCAACACCTGTGAAGGCTCGGGGACTGGGTCAACACCTGTGAAGGCTCAGGGACTGGCTCAACACTTGTGAAGGCTCAGGGACTGGCCCAACACCTGTGAAGGCTCAGGGACTGGCTCAACACCTGTGAAGGCTCAGGGGTTGGCTCAACACTTGTGAAGGTTCAGGGACTGGTTCAACACTTGTGAAGGCTCAGGGACTGGTTTAACACCTGTGAAGGCTCAGGGACTGGCTCAACACCTGTGAAGGTTCAGGGACTGGCTCAACACCTGTGAAGGCTCAGGGACTGGCTCAACACTGTGAAGGCTCAGGGACTGCCCAACACCTGTGAAGGCTCAGGGACTGACTCAACACTTGTGAAGGCTCAGGGACTGGTTCAACACTTGTGAAGGCTCAGGACTGGCTCAACACTTGTGAAGTCCCAGGGACTGGCTCAACACCTGTGAAGGTTCAGGACTGGCTCAACACCTGTGAAGGCTCAGGGACTGGCTCAACACCTGTGAAGGCTCAGGGACTGGCTCAACACCTGTGAAGGCTCAGGGACTGGCTCAACACCTGTGAAGGCTCAGGGACTGGCTCAACACCTGTGAAGGCTCAGGGACTGGCTCAACACCTGTGAAGGCTTAGGGACTGGCTCAACACCTGTGAAGGCTCAGGGACTGGCTCAACACCTGTGAAGGCTCAGGGACTGGCTCAACACCTGTGAAGGCTCAGGGACTGGCCCAACACCTGTGAAGGCTCAGGGACTGGCCCAACACCTGTGAAGGCTCAGGGACTGGCCCAACACCTGTGAAGGCTCAGGGACTGGCCCAACACCTGTGAAGGCTCAGGGACTGTCTCAACACCTGTGAAGGCTCAGGGACTGGCCCAACACCTGTGAAGGCTCAGGGACTGTCTCAACACCTGTGAAGGCTCAGGGACTGTCTCAACACCTGTAAAGGCTCAGGGACTGTCTCAACACCTGTGAAGGCTCAGGGACTGTCTCAACACCTGTAAAGGCTCTCAGGGACTCAACTCCAGAAAATTACCTCGGCATTTCTTCCTTAGTTTCCAGTATTTATTTTATTTATTGGACTTAAAATGTCAGTGGTTGGCAAAACTTCTCATCAGTAAATATACCCAAGTAAGAATAATCACAGCTGTTATGTAATTTAAAGTTGTTCAGATCTTTCAATTGGTATATCCTGCTGACAATCTCTCACGCTGTATAATCTTTCCAGCTATATATCTCCGACTATATATCTCGGACTACATAATCTCAGGCTATAATCTCTCAAACTGTAGTATCTCAGACTATAATTTCACAGATTATATACAGGGTGTCCACAAAAACACTCCCTGATTTCAAACAGGTATAGCATATAACTTTATTGTAATAATCTTTCACAGTTAGTAGCTTCAGATGTAGGATTTCGTTCAGTTTCATGTGGTATAGGGCAGCATTAAAGGCACTCAATGTGCGCCCCTCTGGTTGCTCGGCAAACATCGATGTGATAGTCCAGTTCTGTAGATGCCTTCCTCTCCCACTACATTGTAAAATGCTCCAAACTTCAGAACACCCGTGACTTAACCTGATTCCTCATTTTTTTTTTCTTCTTCTTCTTTTTCTTCTTCCTCTTCCCCTTTCCTCTCTCCTTTTCTCCTCTGGGTTGTCTTTCTCTCTCCTGTCTCGTGTTTCTGTTCCTTCTTTATTTTATTTCACCACTTCCCCTTTCACGCACCTCGGTGCGCTTGCTCTCCCTCTGTGGGTTTCTAGCTCTCTTGCAGTGCTCCCCTTCCTTTGTATTTGACTGGCTCGTCTTCCTTATTTCCCACTTCTACCACTACCATACTACTACCTCTTCTTCTTCTACTACATCTACTGATGAAATTAGACACATGTGCGGCGTCTGGTTGTCTTTGTTGTGGACGTTTCGCCATCCAGTGGCTGGCTGGATGCGAAACGTCTACGGTGGGGATGCCCGGGTGTTGTGCATGTGTCATTTCATCCTGTCGGTATTATATACAATTCTTGTACTACTACTACTACTACTACTACTACTACTACCACTACTACTACCTCCACCTCTTCCTGCCTATATATAGCCGTCCTGCTCCTCCTCTGTTAGTGTGACTTTGTCAATGGTCCAAGTCGGACCGAAACGTCGTCGTAAGCTTCTGTCTTTTATGTGCGGGTTATTTGTGTATTGTGTCCAGTTCGGTCCAGACGTTCTGCAGCATATCTGGTGTTATCATGCCAACTGCTTCAGTGATCGAAATTTTCAGCTCCTCCAGGGTTGCAGGTAGTGGTGGTACGTAAACTGTGCTCTTCACGTACCCCCCAAAGAAAGAAGTCACAAACACTTAGGTCCGGTGACTTTGCAGGCCACATGAGGCCCTGGAGGAGCTGAAAATTTCGATCACTGAAGCAGTTGGCATGATAACACCAGATATGCTGCCGAGCGTCTGGACCGAACTGGACTATCACATCGATGTTTGCCGAGCAACCAGAGGGGCGCACATTGAGTGCCTTTAATGCTGCCCTATACCACATGAAACTGAACGAAATCCTACATCTGAAGCTACTAACTGTAAAAGATTATTACAATAAAGTTACATGTTATACCTGTTTGAAATCAGGGAGTGTTTTTGTGGCCTCCCTGTACAATCCCTCAGTCTTCCAGACTGTACAATCTCTCACCTAACAAAAACAAGCTTAAAATATACATAATCTCTAAATATTTATTTATTTCTTGATAAGAAATAATAAATCCGTGTTGATAACTCAGCACAAGAACTCTCACTACAATTAAAATTATATAATTAAAATATCTGTAGTCATTAATTTAATTTATAGAATTATCGTTATTACAGTGAAGTTTTACAATATTTTATGTGTCAGGATCACATGAGAAGGTACACAACACACCATATATTGTAGTTACGTGAGCTCTCTTCTAGGTTCGACATCCTGCACAGTTTAATGTTGCATAGGCTTCCGAACTGGAGTGTCTATCGTCCAAGTGAAGGTCTGAATGTGGTTGTAGTTGTGGTTATTGTAACAGTGGTAGATGTAGTCGTTGTAGATGTTGATGTAGACGTAGTTGTAGTTGTGGACGTAATTGTTGTAGATGTAGTTGTAGTTGTGGACGTAATTGTTGTAGATGTAGTTGATGTAGACGTAGTTGTCGCAGTTGTAGACGTAGTTGTTGATGTAGTTGTAGACGTAGTTGTTGATGTAGTTGTTGAGGTAGTTGTAGACGTAGTTGTAGACGTAGATGTTGATGTAGTTGTAGACGTAGTTGTAGGCGTAGTTGTAGACGTAGATGTTGATGTAGTTATAGACGTAGTTGTTGACGTAGTTGTTGTTGCCGACATAGTTGTACTTGTAGACGTAGTTGATGTAGTTGTAGATGTAGTTGTTGATGTTGCCGACGTAGTTGTTGTAGATGTAGACGTAGTTGATGTAGTTGTAGACGTAGTTGTTGTAGTTGTATTGGTAGTTGATGTGGATGATGTAGTTGTTGAAGTTGATGTAGTTGTACTCGTAGAGGAACCTGTAGATGTGGTTGCTATTGTGGACGTACTTGTAGATGTGCTTGTGGATGTACTTGTAGATGTGCTTGTGGATGTACTTGTAGATGTGCTTGTGGATGTACTTGTAGATGTGCTTGTGGATGTACTTGTAGATGTGCTTGTTAATGTACTTGCACTTGTAGATGTCCTGGTAGATGTAGAAGTTATAGTTGTGGATGTAGCAGATTCTGTAGTAGAAGATGTTGTAGTTGTGCTTGTTGAAGAACTTGTTGACGTTGTTGTTGTTGTTATCGGCGTCGTGGTAAATGTAGTTGTTGTCGTAGTGAATGCTGCAGTCGTGGTTGTAGTTGAGGTCGTAGTCGCTGTTGAAACTGTGGTCGTAACAGATGTAAATATCGTTCTCGACGTCGTTGTTATTTCTGGAAAAAAAATGAGATAACGCTTTCGTAAATTTGTAAACAAATTAAGCGAATATAAATAAATAATATATAATATTTATAATATATATATATATATATATATATATATATATAATATATATATATATATATATATATATATTATATAATATATATATATATATATATATATATATATTATATTAAATTAAATGAAACGAATATAGTTGATAATATGACGCAATGGCGGAATAATTAATCCTAGCTTTTATTGTTACTAAATATTAAGCAAACACTTACAGGTTAGCTGAGAAATTATGAAGTTACTGTTGCAGAGGAAACAGGGATAAGTAAAGCATACAGTAATGGGATGATATATGCTTGCAGTTATACATGCTGTGCAACAATGGGATAAGAAGCTTATACATTGATACATGTTATAGAAAAGAAAAGTAGGATAACAGTATACATTTATAAACGCAATGCATAAAATGGATAATAAACAAATACATATACATCATGATGGGATGAAAAGTGGGGAGACCTCAACTTTTTTAATAAACTCAGTAAAACAAAATGCAATAGTATACAAGTAACGCGTATATAGGAGAGAGGAGCTTACGACGACGACGTTTCGGTCCGACTTGGACCATTTACAAAGTCACACTGACAGAAAAGTTTGAATGTAGATATGAAAGGACCCAAAGAGACAAGTGGGAGAAAGGAGGGAAGTCAAACATTATACTCGACATGCATTATGGTTATTCAAGTCCAAGACTTACGTTTTGTGAAGCAGCAAACACAGCCGACCTTGCAGCCCTTGTTGATAACATGGCCATAGTAGCAGTCCTCTCTCATGGTGCACACTCCACCTTGCTTCTTGCACCACTCCTCCGTCTTGCAACATTTGACCTTTCTTCACACAGCACTTACACTTCTTACCCGTACACCCTTTCTTGATCTCCTTCTCCTTCCTCTTCCTACACTTGTTTCTACAAACACCTCTCGCTTTCTTGCATTTTGTCTTGCGTTTACATGTCACTATAGTAAAGATGATTGTATTACAAGCTACTAAAAGCAGGCGGGTATTAGATTATGAATTAAAATTAAATATATTCAGTATTACGATTGTATAATGCTATTTTAGCATTCCATACGTAGTGATGTATCGTATATCCGCATCCGAATCTGCAGAACATCCGCACAATTTCTTACATCCGCATTTGCATCCGCATCCGCGCAATAAGTAAGACATCCTCATACGCAGCAGCATCCGTGGATATCTAAACTTTTGCATCCGATACATCTCTATTTCATAGCCGTCAAGAGAAACTTATATGTCTGAGACACACAGGAATGATTTAACCTCTTTAATTAATTGACCATAAAGTTTTTTTTAGACTGTTACTGATGGTCACAGATACCTCACAGCTGCACTTTTAAATTGTAGGACATCCTCTCTCATATATATCTGAAGCCTTGATCTATGTTTTTAATGGCCGGATGAACGATAAGCTCTTGTGAATAAACACCTTTTAAAAAACTGCCCCTGAGAGAATCTGTGACTTACTGGAAAGCTTTAACAGTTAAGAGTTGACCCCTTTATTTCATTTTGATGGAAATACCCGTAGCTCGGTTGACAGTTGCAGTCACTGTTCATCTAGCAGTAAAATAGGCACCTAGGTGTTAGGCGACTGGTTTGGGTCGCATCCTGGGGGAAAAATAACCTAAGTGCCCGAAATGCTCTGCATACCTGGAGAGGGTTTCGGGGGTCAACGCCCCCGCGGCCCAGTCTGAGACCAGGCCTCATGGTGGATCAGGGGTCTGATCAACCAGGCTGTTACTGCTGGCCGCACGCAAACCAGCAAACGAACCACAGCCCGATTGGTCAGGTACTCACTTTAGGTTCCTGTCCAGTGCCTTCTTGAAGACAGCCAGGGGTCTATTGGTAATCCTCCTTATATATGCTGGGAGGCAGTTGAATAGTCTTGGGCCCCGGACACTTATTGTGTTGTCTCTCAGTGTACTCGTGGCGCCCCTGCTTTTCATCGGGGAAATTTTGCATCTCCTGCCGAGTCTTTTGCTTTCATAGGGAGTGATTTTCGTGTTCAAATTTGGTACTAATCCCTCTAGGATTTTCCATAATAAAGGACTTTCTATATGTTATGTCATTGATGTCAGCTATGGTTTGTATACCTTTTATCATGTACGTGTAGAAATATAGATTATTATTATTATTATTATTATTATTATATTATTATTATTATTATTATTATTATTATTATATTATTATTATTATTATTAATTATTATCTTGAGGAAACTAGAAACGTTGTATACTGTGTAAATCTTTAAGTTGACACAAACTGCAGTTTTTATTAGAGGTGTTGATAAATATATGCACACAGCACACACACAAATATTCCTGAAACGAAGTTAAGGTGAACACCCATCACGAGCTGGAGCTCAGCCACGCACTTTGTAAACTCTTTGGAAATTTTTATGTAACCGTCTTGAGGTGTGAGTGAATAATTAAGACCTGAACCACCATCATAGTGCTAGAAAAGCTGCAATAGCCACAAAGTTGAATAATAATAATTATAAAAATAATAATAATAATAGCTAATGAATAAATTATAGTAATTATTCAAGTACATGTACAAGGAATTACAGACCATAGCTGACATCAATGACATACTACTAATAGAAAGACCGCTTGGTTATAGTAACAGTATTTCTGGCAAATTAAGTACAGTTATTGTCCCTGGATGCGACCCAGCATGCCATCCACTAACACCCGAGGTACCTATTAACTGCTTAGGGTTGAACAATTACAGCAGGTATGTCTAAGGAAACACGTGCTAATGTTTCCACCCTTACCGATCGAATGCGAATCCACGACCAGAGTGTGTATAAGCTGAGACTGCGCTAACAAGTATCGACTACGGTACACCGTAGAAGTTACACATGTGAATTTAAACCATAAATATTGTGATGTTCATATATTTTGTACACCCCAGAAACGTTTGTACAGCATAACCCTAAAGAGAAACAGGGTGACTCCAGTGCAATATTTCTCACACCAGGACCAACATTGACAACGCGGTTATTCCCTTGATATTAAAGCGAAAAACAAATCTTCATTCTCGTGAGCAATATGAATTAGAAAGGAATATACTAAGCAATCTGAATTACTTACTATCTGTGAGCTCTCTCATCATCAGTACAGCGGTACATACCACGGCGGTATTACCACGTAGTTAATACCTTAGGTAGTAATTACCACGGCAGTTTATTAACCACGGCTATTTTATCACCACGGCAGTAATTACGCGTACGGTAGTTATTATCACGTAGTTGTAGTACCGACGGCAGTTATACCACGGTAGTTATAAACCAAGCGGCAGTTATTTACCACGGCAGTTATTACCGACGGTAGTTATTACCACGGCCGTTATTTACCACGGCGGTTATTACCACGGTAGTTATACCACGCAGTTACTTCCACGGCAGTTATAACACGGCAGTTATTACCGACGGTATTATCACCACGGCAGTATATCCAACACCACGGCAGTTATTACCACGGGCAGTTATTCACCACGACAGATTATTACCACGGCAGTTATCACCACGGCAGATATATACCACGCAGATTATCACCACGGCAGTTATTACCACGGCAGTTATCACCACTGCAGTGTATACCACGGCAGTTTATCCACCACGAACAGTTATTACCCACGGCAGTTAAAACACCACGCAGCTATTACCACGCGGTTAACAGCACCACACGGCCAGATATTAACCACGGAGCAAGTTGATCACCTTACGCAGTTATTACCACGGAGCAGTTATATAACCCGGCAGTTAAACACCACGGCGAGTTATTAACCACGGCATTATCATCATGGCAGATTAGTTACCACGGCATTATCACGCTCACCACAACGGCAATTACCACGGCAGTTTATCACCAGGGCATTTATTACCACGGCAGTATAACCCACGGCAGTTACCACCAAGGCAGGTTATCACCACTGCATTATCACCACGGCAGTTATCACCACAAGTAGTTATTACCTAGGACGGCAGTTATTACCGACGGCAGTTATCACCACGGCAGTTATCACCACGGCAGTTATTACGCACGTAGCAGATTAATCAACCAGGGAATGGTTAATCACGCGAACGGCAGATTATTACACGAGCAGTTATTCTACCACGGCAGATAATCACCACGAGCATCGTTATTCCCCACGGCAGTTATTATCATTAAGGGCAGTTTATTACACCCACGGCAAGTTTATTCACCACGGCATTATCACCAAGCAGTTTATAACCACGGTCACATATTACCACGGCAGTCTATCACCACGGCAGTTAGTCACACACAGCAGTATATTTACCATGGCAGTTATCACAAGGCAGTTTAGTTACCATCGACATGTTATTGGACCGACGGCAGGTTATCACCACAGTGCAGCTTATTGTAGACAGCCTGTACTGTCAAGCAACACAGCCTTACCGTCTGCCCAGACTAGTTCATATTTCTGGCGGGCATTCGGTGAGCTGCCGGCTCGTAGGCCTACCTAGGCATAGGTGGGGAAGCACAGCCCACCCTCTCCCTCACACCGAGGCCGACCGACTGACAGACACCAAGTGCTTCCCCCTCCACGTCACTGTGCTTGCGGTCACTCGCCCTCACAATGCCCTGTTGTGTACTCACTCCTACCCTATTAAAAGCCAAATCGAGTCCCACGGCCGATAATTGCACACAACTAACGCTACCTTCAATCGAGGCACTAAAACCGCTGTTCAGCATTAAGAACAGCAATAAACGAGTCAGAGACAGCGGTGATACAAGCAGTCGTACGCGGCATCAACGGTGCTCAAAGGAAGCCGCTTCCACTATTTTCTTCGGGTATAGGCGTCTCCGCTGAAACACAGCGAAGAGAAACATAGGTAACCCCCAGTCGGAGTCGCTGTATGTTCCGTCCCTGTCCGCAATGCATGTCGCGCCGCCACTGGGGCAGTGAATACGGCTTGAGCCCGACGTGATGAAACAGAGTGTCCTTGTTGACATTTTGCGAAGACTCGTACCGTACTCTTTCCAAGGTCGGGCCTCGACAACAAGTTCGAGCCGCTCGAGCCAGACTGTGACTCCGAGGAGATCTCGCGGGCATGTCATGCCTTACATGTTCGGAGCTATGGTACAACACCATGTGGACTGCTCATCGAGTCTCCCACTGGTCCACGGACATAAGCCTGTTCAGCTTTTCTAATACAGGGTTCGGTGGTTAAACATTGTCCGCTCCGACTTTTTTTTCCGAACATTGGCCTTCCCGAGCGGCCCAAGTTGACAGAGCCGTGCCTGCCGATTTGACGACCTGAAAGGAGACTCAGGTAATCCGCTGACGGTTCGAGCGGTCGCACAACGCTAGAATTTGGGTCAGGGTCACAATCTGTCCCCTACAAAATTCTTAGTCGTTAGAGATGTATTGTTTTTCCTATGGTGACCTGCTCATAGGTTTCAAAACCATGCAGACTTAGGGAACCGATTATAGATCCAGCTGAGTACGGAAAGCGGAGGAATTCAACTGAGTGGATGTGCCCCCTTCTGTGCGTGCGCTATAGGACCACACGTGCAACTCTAGCCCAGAGTAATGCACAGAGCACCTAGAATCGTTGGAAACGCGGTGGTTTCCAATAGCACATTCTCCCCCGTGGGCCGGCTCTTTTTCCTGATCCGACGCTCGTAGTAAGAGCTCATTGAGCCTATCGAACCTCGCTGTCTCATCACGAGAGCGTTAAGTTTTACCAGTGAATAACCCATTCTGGGACGACCCAGTCAAACCTTCACACTCAAACTCTGACGCAGTTGAAGAGACCACATTTGTCAAGATCC